CATTGTGATTTGATTTTTTAATTTAATGTTATCTTTAACATCTTTTTATGTTGTTAGATTTTCTTTCTCTCTATGGTAAATGGGGATTGAACCCAGGGGCATTCTACCACTGAGTGATGTCTCCAGTCTCAAAATAAAACCTGGCCTTGAATTTGAGATCTTCCTGCCTCAGCCTCCCAAATTGCTAGAATTAACTGGTATGCACCACTGCTCTTGTTATTTCATCAACTTTCTGTTGATTGAGGTCTATTTCTGGTTTGCACCAATGAATTAATTGCCTTCTACTTGTATAACTTGAAACTCCTACAGTGGGGATTTTTAAGCAACTAGTAAATAGTAATAGAAAAATTCATGTGCTTTGGAAAGAGTCTGGAAATAGAAATCATTGGATCATAGTTTGAACAGTCCTAGAGCAGTCATTTAGAATCTTTTGGTAGCCATTTGCAACTTTGTGATTCCTTTTATTCCATCAAGACCCTTTGGTTTTAGAAAGCAGTTGTACCATCTCTACCTAGGTACTGTCTATGCCCTATGCCCTGATTTTGATCTGTTTTCTGTTTTTACATATTTCTTAGAATGTCTGTAATCTTGGCTCAATCTTCTTTCAAATAGCATTGTGCCCTTGGTACTTTGCAATGTTGTATTTTTGTTCTTTTTTCTTTTCTTCCTCTAATTTTTTTTTGTACCAGGGATTTAATCAGGGTTAAGTGGGCACTCAACCACTGAACCACATCCCTGACTCTTTTTATTTTGAGAGATGGTCTCATTAGTTGCTTAGGGCCTTGCTAAGTTGCTGAGGATGACATTGAACTAGTGATCTTCCTTCTTCAGCCTCTTAATTGCTGGCATTACTGGCATGCACCACTGCACCTTGTCTTTCATGCTGTTGCAGTATATTTGAGTTGTTTTTGGGTTTACATGATTATGAATAAAGCCACTATAAAAATTGTGCATAGATTTTTCAATGAACATACAGTTTTATTTCCCTTCACTAAATGGTGGTGAGTGGGCTATTTCAGGTTATATGATTATGTGTATTTTTAAATTCATATTGAAATTTTACTAAAGTGGCTATCTACTTTTTTCTTTCTTTCTTTTTTTTTTTTGGTACTGGGGATTGAATCCAGGGTCCTTAACCACTGAACCACATCCCAGCCCTTTTTTATTTTTATTTATTTTAAAGTTTTCTGTTTTTTTCGTTGTTGACCAACCTTTATTTTATTTATATGTGGTACTGAGAATTGAACACAGTACCTCCACCACTGAATTACAGCCCTAGCCCCTTGTTTTTTTTATTTTTGAGGCAGGGTCTTGCTAAATTGCTAAGAACCTTGCTAAGTTGCTGAGGATGGCCTAAAATTTGAGATCCTCCTGCTTCAGCCTCCTGAGCTGCTGGGATTACAAGCCTTCTAGCAGCTGCTATCCAGTTTTTCAATGCCACCAGCAATTGCTGATTGTTCTCCATCCTCCTCAACACATGGTGTTGTCTTCTACAAAATTTGTCATGTTAAATAAGTGTATTATGATATCTCATTGTGGCTTAAATTTGTATTCCTCTAGTGCCTGATGATGTTGAATATCTTTTTGTTTATTAACCCTATCCATTCTCTTTGGTGAAGTGAATGTTCAAGTCTTACTCATTTGACAATCAGTTATTTTCTTATTAATGTGTTTTAAAAATCATTGTTACAATTTCTTTTTTTATATTTTTTAGTTTTAAGTGGTTATATCTTTATTTTTATGTGGTGTTGAGGATCGAACCCAGTGCTTCACAAATGCTAAGGGAGCACTCTACCACTTGAGCCACAACCCCAGCCCCAAATTTCTTTTTTATGTAAATGTTTTGCAAATATTTTCTTTCCATTTAAAAACAGAGGAACTTCTCCCTCTCCCTCCTTTCTCTCCCTCCCTTCAGTTTATTCAAAGGTGGGAAGCAGCATATGGTAGATTTGTGGAAATTGTGAATTCTGTTTAGGTTCAAATGAGCACCTGTGATCTTGAGCAAGTTACTTAACCTCTGTAGTTCTGTTTCTCTATGTAAAATGGGTATAGAAAAAATACCTACTTTATAAGTTTTTGAGGATAATGAAAGCAATGTATACACATATATACACACATGCACACACTAACTGATTGACTGACTTTGTGGGGGTGGCAGGGAGGTTCTGGGAATCAAATCCAAGGCCTCACACTTGCCAGACAAGCACTTTACCACTAAGCTATACCCCTGGTTTATATGTGTGTGTGTGTGTGTGTGTGTGTGTGTGTGTATTTTTAAAAACATGAGTATTATTATGTTAGTTCCCAATGGACCTTTATTTTATTTATTTATATGCGGTGCTGAGAATCGAACCTAGTACCTCGTATATGCTAGGCAGGTGCTCTACCATTGAGCCACCCCCTCTGTCTGCTAGAAAGTATAGAACGTGGCCTGATGCAATCGTGTACATCTATAATCCCACTGACTTTGGAGGCCGAGGCAAGAGGATCACTAGTTCAATGTCAGCCTGAGCACCTTAGCAAAGTCCTAAGCAACTTAGTGAGATCTTTTCTCTAATTTAAAAAATATAAAAAGGTTTGGGGTTGTGGCTTTGTAGTTAAGTGCCCCTGGTTTCAATCTCTGGTGCCATAAAAAAAAAAAAAAAAAAAAAAAGAGGAAGGAAAGAAAAACAAAAACATACAAGTATTTTATGAAGACAGTAACTTCTAGCTTTTGAGACCAT